ATGTCAGTTTGTATGCTTTTGTGTGCGTGCGTGTGTGTGTGTATGTGTGTGTGTGTGTGTGGCACTTCAGAGCGAAAGAATAAAATAATTTATATATTTTTTAGAAAAACGAAAAAAGCTGTACTTTTATTTTAAAACTGTGGCCAATAAAAGAGACTCACACAGATAAAGATGAGGGACTCGAGTCGACATCTGCACTCACTGCCTTATTCACAGGATTTCCTTCACAGCTTCAAAAGGTTTTCTTTTTAAAAAGGTTTTCAAGAAGGGGAAAAGAGAAGACGGTGTACAGTAAAACCATGTCAGTTTGTACAAATATACCAAGTGGAAAAAATATTTATTACCTGCATTGGAAGAAATTGTTTACTTATTGAATGTTACTTGTTTATGTAGAAAAGTAGATGTAATAAAATGCATTCTGCCACTTCTCTGTCTTTTTATTTTTTTATTTTAGAGACTTTTCTGCTCAAACTTTTTGTCCATTTTCTCCCATCAGGAGCTACGGAGCCCCCATAACGACACYAGAATTTTTTTTCTTTACCTCACAATACTTTTTGTGTTCCTATGCGATACTGCTTGTGTTCTCACACTAAAACCTTGCATGTTGAAAGTAATAAGTCAGTTTTTGGATTAACCCCTAAACAGTCTTTGTTCCACCAGTGGGCAAAAATGGTGCGGTGTCTGCCTTTAAACGTTTCCAGATGCTACCATGGGCTTTTATTTTGAAAACCAGGATGTCAGACAACTTTCTCCAGTTCTTACTTTTAGCTTTGACACCCTTRCAAAAAAATAAATAAATGTCGAAAGGCTTTTAAGGGATTTCTTGGGCRAATGTTACRGCRTTGAATGTGACYTTTATTTTGAAATATGATTATCAAAACGGGATGTGTCACAAGTTAGGGAAGTTGGCGATGATATTACGTGATATGTTTATTCCAAAGCTGAATTAAAGTAGTAACTCCTGGATAATGGAGCTCACGTCAAGATATTAATAAACTGGTAGGCACAACAGTAATGAATTTTTGTGAGGAAAATCAAAAGTATTGTGAGGTAAAATAATAATAATATTAGTAGTAATAATAATAATTATTATTATTATAATGATAATAAGACAAATATCCCTAGATGGAACAGCTGCCAGGACTTTTAGTATCGATACATTGTACGACATGGGAAAAAAAAATTCCCGGACACAATGAGACGTTGTCAAAACAAGTATCTATAGATACTAGATAGAAAGATATCTACAGATATTTTTACTTCACAGTAAAAATATCATTCTGTGTTTAAGCGGGTCATGTAAAGTCAGACGTAACAAAACTGTTATTTTTGTTTTACAGTTTAATTATCATGACTTAGGTTTTTCCACACAGTGATAAACTTGACAAAACCTTATCACCTAACCTTATACAAAAATTTGTCAATTTCTTACTTCCAATTGCAGCTTTTTTACAAACTATACATCAAAAATAAAGACACTTCTCATTTCGCTGCTAAAGGATTTAAAGTTTTCTGACAAATCTTAGAGTGAAAAAAGTGCACACACATTTATCCTGTACTTTATCTAAAGTTTCCTGCTGTTTAACTCATCTTAGTTCCTTCATAAAACAGGAAGAAAAAAAACACAGGTGTAAACATCAGAGCAAGGTTGTAATAGTTTTGGATTTTTCATTACAGTTTAGTTTTATTTAGTTGTGACATTTTTTCTTTTAATTCAGTTAGTTTTAATTAGTTTTTAGCATGGATTTGCTAGTTTTTATTAGTTATTATTGCTTTTTAATGCTTGGTTTAGTTTAGTTTTAATTAGTTCTAGTATTAGTGGGGTTTGTTGTAGTTTGAATAAACATATTTGCCAATGTATCCTCCATCTTGAAGTGATCCTGCAAGTTAACAAACCAACAGATTTTTGATCATCAGTCAAAGTTATAGAAAACCTTCCTAAAATAATCCTGTAATTCAGATATGCCATCAAAGGACATGGACAATTGTTTTAAGAAGGTAACAAT